AGTTGGCAAATACTTTTTCCCAGTCTGTGGGCTGTCTCCCTGCTCTCTTGATGGTTCCTTTGGCTTTGCAGAAGCTTGTCAGTTTAATGAAGTCCCACTTGTCTATCTTATCTCTTATGGCCTGTGGGTTTCGGGTTTTGTTCAGGAATTGGATGCCAGTTCCCATTTCCATGAGGGTATGTCCTTCATTTTCTAAGGTTCTTATGGTTTGAGGTTTTACATTTAGGTCTCTGATCCATTTAGAGTTAATTTTTGTGTATGGGGATAGGTAGGGGTCTGGCATGTAAGTGCTCAACAGATGTTTTCCATGGTTGCTATCACTGTTTTACATAAAGTGAAGCTGCTTTGTCATTGTTGCTATGTTCGAGTTACTGCTTGCATGCGGAGCTTCTAACCTGTGAGGTGTCAATATTGAGAGCCATCTCCATCATCATCACCATTACAACCACCATTGCTACTTTTGAATGAATGGTTGTGACTCTGTTCAAAACTATAAATGGCAAAGCATCTGTTTTGGCATCTGGAAACCAAGTGTAAACTTGGTCAAATAACTTAATGATCAGAGCCCAAATACTGTTAATTGTCTAATGGAAATAAACAAGACTATCTTTAAAAAAAAATAGTAACACCACTAAATGCTGGCAAAGACACAGAGAAACTGGATCCCTCACACTGCTTATGGAAACACAAAATGGCACAGCCACTTTGGAAAACAGTTTAAGAATTTAAACACGCAGCTACCATGTCACCCAGCAATTAGACTCCTAGGCATTTGTCCTGGAGAAATAAAAGCTAGGTTCACACCAAAACGTGTCTACAATGTCCATAACAATTTTATTCATAATAGCCTCAAACTACGGATACACGCAAAAACCTGGACGGGTCGCCAGATAACTGTGCCGAACAAAAAAGTCAGCCCCTAAGAGTTATATCCTTCATGGTTCCATTTATACAATACTTCTGAAATGGCAAAAACATCAAAATGGAAAACAGAGTAGTGGTTTGCCAGGGGTTGAGGAAGGGGTGGAGCGGCTACCCAAGCACCACACCAAAGAACCTCTCAATGCTGGAAAAGTTCCATATCTTGACTGTGTCGATGTCAATATCCCAGTTGTGACATTGTCCTATAGTTCTATGAGCTTTGGGGGAAACTGCATGAAGGGTACACAGGCTCTCTCTCTGTATCACTTCTTTCATGAATGTATAATTATCTCAACCAAAAAAAAGGGAGAGAGATGCCTCTACCACATAACAGTACACCGGATAACAGTAACCAGATAACAGTACTCCAGGCCCATAAACTCACCAGATGGTGGGCAATGAGTGGGGGGGGACCCACGCATCTAGCCAGCGCCCCTGGGACCACACCCCAGACCTTCAGAACCACAAATAACGGCAGCAGGGTCAGTTCAGGCATCCGCCTCTAACTACGACTCATGTGTAGACCCAGGGCACCTGGCCCCGAGAGGCAGACACAGGGCTTCAACTACGCTGGGTTCCTACTCCAGAAAGGACAGCCAGGGTGGGAGTCCACAGAAAGTTGCTACAAAGGTGACGTAGTCTACTCTTCTTCCATTTACCACTGAGTTACCAAAAATGCAGGAGTCAAAGGGGATTGAAAAGCAGACGTTTTAGGCCAACTCCCTCGGACCCCCTTTCACTCTGGGAGCTTTTCTGTCCTCTCAATAAATCCTGCTTTCTCAACAACAAAAAAAGTAGTAGTTTAAAATACGTGGAATGTAGTGGACAACAGAGGAAAGAAGGGGCTTAAGAAAGCCTCCAGGTGCCAGTGGGTCAGCTTGCAAATGTTGTGGGACTTAAGTGTTTTGAGGGCCATTCTCAGAGAGGAAATTGCTTCTGTGGGTAGACTGTTTTCCCGATGGAGTTTAAGTTGACAAATTGTAAACTGGCCAGCAATCAAGTGACTAGCAAACTGGAAAGATGAAATGAAGGGTACTTTCTCTTCTTTTTTTTTTTTTGAGTCAGGGTCTCACTCTGTCGCCCAAGCTGGAGTTCAATGGCATGGTCATGACTCACCACAGCCTTAAACTTCTGGGCTCAAGCAATCCTCCCATCTTAGCCTCCCAACTAGCTAGAACCACAGGCATGCACCACCAAGCTGAGCTAATTTTTAAATTTTTTGTAGGGGCAGGGTCTTGCTATGTTGCCCAGGTGGGTCTCAAACTCCTGGCTTCAAGAGCTCCTCCTGCCCGTGCCTCCCAAAGCATTGGGATTACAGGCACGAGCCACCACACCCAGGTTCTCATCTTGCTTCAGTGCTTTCTTCTTATCGCAGCTCCTGAGTCCCACGACTACACTTATGCAGTGCCACACCAGGTGACAGCAATGGTGAGCCCGCCTTGATTCTCTTACATTTTGAGGCCAGGACAGCAATAGTCACAGATATCCTCCTGACCTAACGGACCTGGGGAAGAGCCTCAAAGTTGGGTTCAACTGCAAATGCTGACGCAGCAGCCACTCCTGCTGAGAGAGAAGCCAGACTGCCCATCTGGATCTGAGACTCACTTGGACTTCGTGTGAAGAAAACGGGATGTCACAGGAGTGTGTACTAAGGGCCATTTCTATGTGGCTTGCCCTGTGGTACCTGGCTAGGAACCGGCTGAAAGTCAATCCTCTTCTCTGGTGAGCTGAGTGGGTGGCTCAGCCAGGCAAAACCGGAGAAAGGAAACAAAAGGTCCAATTTTTGCTCAGCATACACCGGCCTTAGAGTCACCTGGACGCTCAACCATGATGTAGTCCTTAGGGTTCCTGGCAAAACAGGCGGCCTCTTTATTTTGCCTGTCCCAGAAAGTAAAACATATTTTGCAGCTTTGAGTTCTGGCAGGATAAATGTGATGACCCAGCCACCACATACACCTCCTGAGACAGGAAATCTCCTTTCCCCAGGGACAGTGCTTCAAGCCATTTGACCTGAGTTTGGCGGCCGAGCCTAGAAGGTGAGCAGAGACAAAACCTTCCTCGTTCCTACAGGAGGGCTCCCACAGGGACAGACATCAGGGTGGCTCGGGAGGCCAGAGGCAGGGCACCCGAGCCAGCAGTGAGAACCCTCCACTGGGCGGTGGGAGAGCCCTTCTCAGTCAGGACACGTCTGGCCACACGACCTGCCAGCAGACACAGAAACAAGAGGACAAACAACTGAAGAAAGGGGTGTTTGGCTTTCTTCCCCTTTTACTGCACGCTTTTTTTTTTTGAGTTGGAGTCTCACTCCGTCGCCCAGGTTGGAATGCAGTGGCACGCACAGCCTCACCCTGCTGGGCTAAGGCGATCCTTCCGCCTAGCCTTCCAAGTAGCCGGAACTACCAGCGCATGCCACCATGCCCGGTTAGTTTTTGATTTATTATGGAGATGAGGTCTCGCCAAGGTGCCCGGGCCGGTCTTGAACCCTTGGGCTCAGGCAACCCACTCACCTCAGCCTCCCAAAATGCTGGGATTACAGGCTGAGCCACCGAGCCCAGCTTTTACTGCATGCTTTTAAGATGAAAAGTAACACAACCTTTTTGATGGAGTGGTGATGAGGTAAGAGGCATCCACAGGGACAGACCCAAGCACACCGCCGGGACAGGCCAGAGCGCTCTGGCCACCACGGCCTTCCTGAACTTCCCTGTTCTTGGGGTGCTTTCCTGTCAGAGCCAATGAAACCTTTAACATCCAAATCACAAGAATGTTGTCAAAGCTCTTTCTCGCTTCCATTGCCACTAGACCGAAGCCACAGAAAAGAAGTACTGAATCGTTCTCGATCTTTTGTTCCCCAAACTCAAAATCCTACAAGGAACTTAACTTAGGAGTTGTCCTTGAGGACCTCATCACCGAGACAGTGCCAGACTTCTGAGATGCAGCACAAATCGAATTAACAAAATATCGCAGGTGGGGCGGGGCCAGCCAGTATACTGCTGAATCTTCATAAAGGTAAGTTTGAGAGCAGAGAACATCAGCTCAAACCAGCAACCCCTTTGACTTTCACAAGTCTTCTGGTTTGGGCAATATGTCGTCACATGGCCTCTTCAACTCTATGTTCATTTCGTTCAATATGTCCAGTTACTTCCAATGAACAGTATTATATATTTGGTAAACACAGGCTGATGCTGACTGTGACATGCATTTCGCCAGAATCGACCAGCCCTTCCCTACAGAACAAAAGCTGCAAACACACGCAAGGGTGTTCTATGAAGTGGAGACGGGTTTGCAAGTGGAGAACATCACTGAATGTACTTCTGGACCACCCTCCTAAGTAGACATGCCATAAAAGCAGGTACCAATTAAGCATACTGAACTACAAAAGACACATCAGCATTACAAACAACAGCTGCGAGTTCAGTAGAGCTGCCACATTAAATACATAAATAACAACAATGTTTTTAAAATCTCAAAACTGTCACTAATAACTCAAGAACTTGGTGATGTGGCCTGACTTGAACACTTAATACAACGGGATGACACTGTCATTAACTAAATCTCAGACTTCCAACACATACACGCCCGTGACTGAGCAATTTGCAAAATCTAAGGTTCTACAACTCAACTAGGACACACACTTCATACCTGGCGAAAGAACTATCTTCCTAAAAATAACTCTTTCTAAAAAAAATAAGATTCCTGTTTCGCCATCGTTTCTGTTCTTTTTTTCTTTTTCACAGACAGGGTCCCCCATCTGTCACCCAGGCTAGAGAGCAGTGGTGTCATCACAGCCCACTGCAGCCTTGACCTCCCTGGGCTCCCATGACGCTCCCACTTCAGCCCCCTGAGCCCCTGGGACTGCGGGCGCATGTCGCCACCACCTCCCCTGCCAACACGGTGTCTATGAAAACAATCCTTCCTGGCGCACACGCATGCCCGCGCGTGCACATACACACTCACTCACTCACTCACTCACACACCTCCATTTGATGGAGCCCCGCCCCCAACAAAACAAAGAGCTACTTCCTGAGCCCGCCTGCCTGCAGGCTCATTGCTGAAACACCAAAATGTAAATGATACTCTACTTGTCCGCTTGCATCTGCAGCCTGCTGGAAATGTGTGGCCAGCGACGTCTCGTCCTGGAAGACTTCATTACACTCCAAACATTTTAGACTATGTCTACAGAGCTTGGAGGGGTCTTCATCGAGGGGCATGGCTGGGGTGATGGGGGTGCTGGAAGGAGCCGATATGACCGTGCCAGTGATGCCAGACTGAATTTTGGTGACAGCGTGTGTGCCGGCTCCCACGGGGCTCTGGAGAGTGGAAGAAACGGAACTATTGCTTGACGGAGAGACGATCATCTGATCTGCTGGGACTGGCTTTAAAATTAAGTGGGAGCATTGCATCACCACCCCTTTTTCCTTATGCCCACGGGCATGGGAAAGGAGGCTGCATTTGTTGTAAAAAACGAGGTTCTTTGTGCAATGGTTGCACGTTACTTCGATGCGCACGCTACGCCTGTCGTAGTGCTGGGTCAGGCTCTTTTCCAGCGCAAAGGAGTCCCCGCACTCCAAGCACTTGTACCCACGTGTCGGTAACGTGATCCCTGCACTGGCGGGAGGACTGAGGTTTGGGATGTAAACTGGGACTGGGTTGACACTGCTCAGCACCTTGTTGAAAGCCTCCACCACAGAACTCTGCAAGGACGACACCACCTGCACTCGAGACACCTTTTTGGGGGGCTGCGAGGTGGCTGCGGTGATTATTGCCTGCTTGATTTGCTGCTGAGGTTTGGTGAGCACTTGGCGGAGTTCAGAGGTGGCCTGGGCACCCTGAGGCAGGAGGTTAAGGTTGGCAAGGTGCACAGTCTTTGGCACGAGTTTGGCGTTGGCCAGGCTGGACGCCGGCACCACGACAGTCTGCTGCTGGATGGCGTTGGCGGCTTTGATGATGGCACTGCTGGCGCTCTGCACAGAGGCAGCAGAGATGACCGTGGCTTTCACTGTGGTGTTGTTAGCGAGCTTCAGATTAATGACCTGGGATCCTGCCGTCTTCACGGCAGACACAGGGAGGAAAGCGGTAGCCACAGGCTTGATGGTGACCTGTTTGGGGGTCAGCTCTGCAGGAGACACCGTGTTGGTCACGACCGCTGACTGGAGAGGCGCCCGGGGGGGAGAGGAAAGGACGGCGGCCGAGGCTGGCGACGACAGAAGCGACGTCACCGAGGCCATCACGGACGCCGTCTGCTCAGCAGGCTTCTTCCCAGAGTCAAGATCCACTTCTGGCAACACCCGGGTCACCGTTCGCTTGATCTCCCCAGAAGACGTCTTGATGGTTTTGATGCGGACCTTGGGGATGGCTGGTGTGGACCCTGCCGGAGAGGATGGGGACCCCTTGCTGCTGTTCTCGCTTGAAATGCTTCGGGGACTGTCTGGCGGCTTCAGGGAGGCTTTCTTGGTCCCATCGATGAGACTCTGGGATTCGGGGGACTTGTCCGCGGCTCTGGGACTGTCGTTCGCTTCTTTGGGTAATGGGGAGGATTCCCTCGAGCTGGCCCCCACCGGGTCTTTGCAGGAGTCAGAAGCCGCCTTCTTGGCGCTGAGCGCCGCGATGGCAGCAATGCACGACGAGAGCTTGGAGGACGACTTGGTCTTGGACGGCGCGACGCCCGCGAGGCCGGTGTCCTTCTCCGAGCCCAGCTTCCCATCCAGGACTCTGCTTTCAAGCACCTTTTCAGAGCTTTCCTTCAATTTATCCTCCGCTTTCCTGACTTTAAAAGGTTCATAAACACTCAGGTTTATAGAACTGGCTTCGGTTTCTCTCTTAACGACTTTGTTTTTATCCACGCTGCCCGCGACTGAGAGTCCGGATTTACTGGAGTTTTCCCCCGCAAGTGCCTTCAGCTTCTCATAGTCCTGCTGGGGAGCCGAAGCCGCCAGCACGTTGGCCCTGAAGCTGGAGCGCGCGTCCTCCTTGTCTGGGGGGTCGTCCACCTCGATCTTCTCGTCGTCGTCGAACTCCTCGGCGCTGGAGATGGGGCTGAACTGGCTGAACGCCGGGTCCTTGAGAGGCACCTCGGAGGCAGGCACGTCCCCCTTCAGGGCCTTCGCAGCGTCTTTCCCGTAGCTGTCCAGGGAGGAGGCTGTGAGAAACCCGTTGTGCAAGCCGTTGCCCGTGGGGTTGTGGCCGTCCTTCTCCCCGCCCTCGGAGGAGTCGATGTTGCGGACGTTCTTCACGATCACGCTGACGCCCACGTCGGAAGAGGAGGGCGCGGGGGCGTCGTCGTCTCCGTGAGCGCTCGGCTTCATGTGGCTTTCGTGGTCGTCGTGTCCAGACTCAATCGCTGCTTTGGGATCGACCATGTCGGGGATGTCAAATGCTGCCAGGAGGTCGTCGAAGTCCGGGGTCTTCATATCCCCCATGGTCATGAACTTGACCGGCTGTTCTGTTAAATGAACAGAAAACAACTCCATCAGCAATGGACATGTTGGAACGATGAGCTCAATCTCCCTGGAGGAGTTACACGAACGTGGCAATGATTACCAAGAAAGAGGAAGGTGCTCACTTTACCTGCTGTAACCACAGAACTCAGAGTCAAAGTGAGCACACATCCAGAGCGTAGAGTATGTAGAAACCCCATAGACATCTGGCTTCAAACGCAATCCGGCCAAGCTGCTGTACAGGGTTACCAGCGTGGCGTGGCTCCTAGCTAACGAGAATAATGTTGGTTGGAAATGTCACGGCACAGAGAGACAGGATTTGATGTACCAGCTAGAAAATGTGTCATTTTCATAAAAAGCTACTTGCAAACATATTTTGATCTTGACAGCATTTATTTCCACTGGCAAGGTCATCACTGTTAAAGTCACCATCAGATTTGGGATATATCACATGAAAAGAAACAAACTAAGCCGTGAGTAGTGGTTCACACCCAGCACTTTGGAAGGCAGAGGTGAGAGGATGGCCAGAGTCCAGGGTTCGAGACTAGCCTGGACAGCTTAGTGAGACCTTGTCTCCACAATAAATTTAAAAATGAGTCGAGGTGGTGGTACGTGCTTGCAGTTCCAGCTACTTGGAAGGTTGAGGAGGAAGGATTGCCTGAGCCCAGCAGGTTGAGGCTGTGGTGGCCGTGATTGTGCCACTGCACTCCAGTCTTTATGGCAGTCTGGGTGACAAAATGAGATTCTAACTTGGGGCAGGGGAGGGGGAGGGAAGCGGGAGGAGGAGGGGGAAGGAGATGAGAGGGAAGGGGAGGAGAGGGAAGAGAGACACTACAATCAAAAAACCAACTACAGGGCAGGCTCAGTGGCTCAGCCTATAATCCCAGCACTTTGGGAGGCCAAGGCCAGTCGACTGCCTGAGCCCACGGGTTCGAGACCCACCCGGGCAACTTGGCGAGACCTCGTCACACGCCTTTAGTCTCAGCTACTCGGAAGGCTGAGGTGGAAGGATCGCCTGAGCCCAGCAGGTGGAGGCTGCGGTAGCCAGGAGTGTGCCACTGCACTCCAGTCTGGGCGACAGAATGAGACTCCAACTGAGGAAAAAAAAAAAACCAACTACAGATTTCATATTCACCCACAGAAGAAAGAAATGAGTATCCAAACCAGCCCAGGGCATTGACTGCTAGTAAGTTCCACCTGGAATTAAAAAAAAAAAAAAAGCAACCTGAGGCACTAATTCTGTTCATTTTTACTTAATCCTAATTTTCACTATTATGTTAAGAAAAGAAACACTCTTAGATGGAAGGAGGAAGAGTTTCAGAAAAACGGTCACAGTCATTACTTAAGATGAAGGATATTTAAATACATGCAGTGCCTGGGGTCTTCAAAAAGGGCCCTTCACCCTCCCTGCAGGGGACTCCCACCTTGTGGGGATCAGATAAAACCTCCAGTACAGGGGAGACCCCCTGCTCCCTGGACCCCCAAGCAGCCCATCCTATGATTCCACTGCTTCTTGGTTTGCACTCATCAGTGTGCGAGCACTTGTCTCTTCTAACCTACTAGCTTGGAAGGACGGGCAATGTGTCACTCACCTTTACCCTACTGATGCCAAAAAGCACACCATGAGTCAGAGATGGAACACTGGCTTTGTAAGAGAAGGATGGGTCTAGACCCAGCTCTGCCACTTGCTAGCTTTGGGACCCTCAGAAGAGGTTCTCTTTGGATCTGTTCCTTCCTTTGGCAGTGGGGGCAAACAGCCAGGAAGAGAGGAAAAAAGAGGGAAGGACGGTGGGGGAGAAGAAAGAAGAACCAAGTCAGCAATAATCAAAGTTGGAAGGGGCAGAGGGCTACAGTTGACACGGGCAACTTTCAATGGAAGAATCAGCCTCACTGGCACAATCTTGGAGTTTTTGTTGTTCAGTATTTACTATGTTATTAATCTTCCTTCAAATCTGCATTAGTGGTCCCTGAGACATCATCTTCCAACCTTTACTAAAGTTCTTGTTTTTTAGCTTTAGAGAGAGGGTCTAACTCTGCCACCCAGGCAACAGTGCAATGGAGCACTCAGGGTTCACTGTAACCTCAAACTCAAGGAGTCCCCTTGTCCCATCCAAAGTGCTGGGATTACAAGCATGAGCCATGGCACCTGGCCTTACTAAAGTGGTTTTATTTCTTGGACAATCTGTAAAAGAGACACTATTCTAGGGTCAAGGGAGAATTTCTACTCAGGCAAGAATATACATGTAAACCACAGATCCATCAACAGCTGTTAGGACCCTCTGCATATTCGCTCTGGGGACACATCCAAACACTCCTAATCATTTGATTGGGAAAAACTACTGTTGAAAATGAGATAAGCACGATGCGTTCAATGGGAGCTGAAGAATAAACCACCTTCCATCCCCATATGCCTCGCTTAACACTGAGCTGAAGAAGCCTCACGTACTTCTCTCCTGACAGCTTACCTCGCCTGGAAAAAACACGCCGAAGACACCATTCTCTAAGATGGATGCCTGCGGGACCCAACAAGGTGCCCCAAGCATCAAACTACCACTAATGTAAAAGGTGCACAGGGAAAAAACCACTAACATTTCTAAAGTGATCCTGATGTGAAATTGTCTATGCGAAGTCAGATCCAGGGAGAAGGTTCATGATTCTGGTTTTCTTTTTAAAATGAAACTGTACATTTAAACTGCAAAATATGAGGAATGAAAAATCCATCTGTTGGATACTACATCCACCCACTTATAATTCCTGAATGTCACTCCTCTTTTTTTTTTTTGGAGTTGGAGTCTCACTCTGTCACCCACACTGGAGTGCAGTGGCTCAATCATGGTTCACTGCAGCCTGGACCTCTTGGGCTCAAGTGATCCTTCCGCCTTAGCCTCTTGAGTAGCCAGGACTACAGGAGATGCCCACCACGCCCAGCTAAGTTTTTCACTATGTTGCCCAGGCTGGTCTCAAATGTCTGAGCTCAAGCGATTTTTCGGCCTCAGTCTCCCAAAATGCTAGGATTACAGGCATGAGCCACCACGCCCAGCTGATCACTCTTATTTCCAACCCTCATACTGATGTCATAAACTGAATACTTATAATAAAGCTGCCATTAGCAGAGTACCCCTGTGATCTGTCGTTACCAACCAAGCTGATCTGAGGTTGGTGATCACTGAACTGCCCCCTGCACCAGGGCTGAAAGGGCCTCAAAGGTGGATTTTGAGTGCTTCCGTGTAGCCAGAAGTGCCAGTGGTAGCTGGGCTCTCCTAAGTCCCTCCATCCTTTCTTTACAGCTATCCAGGACGTATGTCACTTGCCCTCTCTTGATGATTTCGGTGAGCAAAACCGATCACACAGTTTCACAGTGTTCATCCCAGAGGGCAGTCAGTTCAGGAACCAAAAGAAGGCACGAGATCATTCGAATCCTCAGTGGGTGGCAGGCCAAGACATGCCACCCACCCCAAGAAGTGATAAAAGCCTGTCCTATGAAACCACACCTGTGGAGTGGTCGGCGATCCGGTCGGCAGGGCAACTGGCAGGTCTCAACCGTCCCCTGTTCTCAAGAATACTGGGAATTTTAACAAATGGCTTTTAGTATCTTCTCCTGTCGTCACAGGGGCTTGCACACATGCACAGCATCAGTATTAAGTCATTTAGTCCATGCCTGCTTGCTGCCTGCCACGCCCCCTGTGTCTTTTCCTACTTGCCCAGCTAAAGCAGAGTTAGGGTCTGGAACGCCTCAGAGAGGAACCTCCACGCCTGCAAAAGCCCACGAGGGGGTGAGAAGCAACTCTCCCCTCCCCCCCACCCCGGAATCCAGACCCTGCTCCCTGCTCCCTCATCCCTCTATTCCAACTACAGATCACACTGGGGGAGGAGGGCGACCCCATGGTGAAGCAGGGGGGGCGTTCTGAAGAGGTCAGAGTGAAATGCCAGTCGTTTAAAAAATAATGAGTCCGCCATCCTAGTTCACCTGAAGGTAGCCTAACTCCACACGGAAAACATGGCTTAGCTATTTGCTAAAGCCTGAGTGCAGCGGCCAACTGAAAGTCATCCTGTCGCCTGAAACCCGAGCCCCTGCAGCGGGTGGACTCCCCTCTCCGGGGCTGTATAATTAATGTAATGAATGCTGCTCTCGGTAACTTCACACTTCTTTTTCGGTTAATAGGAATGTTTTTCATGCCCACAATCACATTGTCCTATTACCCTTTCCCTCCCCACATTCTGGAAGGCGAGAGCAAGTGTCCCGCTTGTGCCTCCCACTGCATTTCTCATTGACGTTGCACACAAAGAGAAATGTTTACGTCTGGATGCTTTCTTCATTTTCCACTCCAGTTCCTAAATACTACTGTCTTAAAAATAGATCCCTCTGCTCGACACATTACAAAAATATCTCCTAAAAGATAATATAGAATCATCTCATTTTAGCTTCCCTTTCCGTTTACAGTTTGATTTGCAAACAGAATTAGCTTTAGTTATTATCACGATGTCTTTCATTTCATTTGTACTCTTAAAATACATCTCCGTTCAAAGGTACTAACAAGGCTGTTAATTTAAAATTAAACCCAATGTAAATAACCTATAATTCACTAATAGCATTTGTGTGTAACGCATAATGTCCTTTCACCCAAAGACACTGACGATATCTGAGGGGGAAAACATGCTAGGCCTGTTTACAGAAAAGGAACTTGAAAGAACTCAAGTCCGTTACATGATTGCTTTATTTTCTCCTATGACACAGACGGACAAAATATTTCCTTTCCTATCAAAGTCTCTTAAAATTATAGAAAGCTATTTCATCTTTGTTGGTAGAAGTCATTAGTTTATTAAATCAAAAGAAAAACTGTTTCTTTTTTTGAGCTGGAATCTCACTCACTCCGTCGCCCAGGCTGGAGAGCAGTGACACACTCATGGCCGCCCCAGCATCAACCTGCTGGGCTCCAGTCATCCTTCCGCCTCAGCCTTCCAAGTAGCCGGAACTATAGGCACACGCT